ACCATGTGTACCCAGAGCTTAGTTCACACCAAGTGAGAACATGTGATACTTGGTTTTCTGGGCCTGAATTACTTAGGATAATGGCCCCCAGTTCCATCCAAGTTGCTGCGAAAGACATTATTTCATTCTTTTTTATGGCTGAGTAGTGTTGTGTGTGTGTGTGTCTCACATTTTCTTTATCCACTCATCAGTTGATGAACATTAAGGTTAATTCTGTATCTTTGCTATTGTGAATAGTGCTGTGATAGACATATGAGTGCAGGAATCTTTTTGATTTAATGACTTGTTTTCTTTTGGGTAGATAACCTATAGTGAGATTACTGGATTGAACGGTAGATCTACTTTTTGTTCTTTGAGGAATCTCCACACTATTTACCACATAGGTTGCGCTAATTTGCTTTTCCACTAACACTGTGTAAGTGTTCCCTTTTCACTACATCTGCACAAATATCTATTGTTTTTTCACTTTTTCTTTTTTGATGGCCATTCTAACTGGAGCAAGATGGTATCTCATTGTTGTTTTAATTTGCATGTATGTGACAATTGGTGATGGTGAGCCTTTTAATCTGACTTCAGTTATTATTCATATTATGATGACTTTCCAAATTATATTTATCTCCATCTGATCTCTTTCTCACCATATTAAGGCATGTATATGTTATTATTGTTGATCACCTTTATTTGGTGTTTTGCTTCAAGAGCATCTCAATTTTAAAATATCCAGAAAAGCAAATGATTTTAGTTCTCATATTCATTTCTTCTCTTGTATTATTTTTCTCAGAAAACAATACTGTCTGCTGCTAATTTGCCCAAGGCAGAGTTGAAAAGTAACAAATCCTTAAAGTCCACTTTCTATCACTATCCATGTTCAGAAACACCAGATTCTACTGAGCCTAACACTCATAATTTTCGGACCTGTACTCTTCATTCTTCCTCTTATTATTTTTACACAGTTCTATGCAAAGAGACTTTGAATTGACTGGATTTTCTTTGACCCTTTCCAATTCATTTTCCATGTTATTATCAATGGTTTTCCTTAAATAAATACTTGATCGTGTCATTATCCTGGCAAAACATTTCGATGCACATTCACCAGTCTTAGATAATGTACAAACTTCTTAGTATGATATTCAAAGTCTTCATTTCCTCCCTCACTTGTGCTCTATAGTCTAATAATATTTTAATGCCCAAGACCATATCCTCTCTCAATTTGGGGCTGATACATATGGTCTTAACTGTCTGGATAATGTGTAATAACTACTATTTAAACTTTCTAACTCCTATGTCTCCTAGTGTTCTCATCACACTTGTCAGATCTTTGAGGGAGATTTCCTTAAGCCACTAAAACTAGACTGGTCTCTGCAAGAGCATGACTAACCCACCCAATCACATCCCTTATAGGGTATTATACATGCTTGATAACTAGGCTCTTCCCTCCATCGTGTTTAGGCTGTAAACACGATGAGAGGAGGAATCGACTTCTGTCCCTTTTAGCTACAGTCCTAGACATAGTGCTGGATACAGTGGCATTCAATTAGCATTTGCTGAATTGAGAATTGAATTACCTTTTAACTTCAAGTATAATCAATAAATTATATGAGTTAAGTGTGATTTTTAACAGGTCCTCATACTACATGTAATGGAATTAAGCATAAGATTTTGGTGCTTAAGTAGTTTATAGTCTGTTTGGCTACACATGACCTAAACCCACTAAAGATAATGAACAATAAGCTGTTTACTGTTGCCAATACATATTACAGAGAATAATTCCCACGGGAGATCATTGGGGCATTTACCCTAATAATTCTTACAAATTCTATCACACTTCTCTCCTGCTAAAGCCATAATTATGCCCCATTTCTTGCCTGTAAATAATGCCATTTCCAGATAAATAGTAACAAGTTTATCCAATTTGAAAACTAAACAAGCATTTTACAAATAGATACATTTAGTTCCATGAAAGTTTTCAGTTCCTCTCAAAGCCTTACAGTTTAGTGAGGGAAATAGTGTTCAAAATACATAATTTAAAACAAGACAGTAATTGCAAGGATGGATATAATTATAATGTAGTAGTAGAAGTCAGGGCTAGCTTAAATAGCTATGAAGATTTTATATATTTGGGAAAATTGATATAATAATTTATAACATCTGATTAATATCAAATCTGAATATAATTATCCAACTATGTCATTTAAATTTAGTGGGCTATTTTTCTTATATCGTCAAGCATATAAAACATCTAACTTCTTTAATATATATCTTTTAGTTGATAAAACATAGAGATCCCAAAATAATAGTGAAAATAGAGACTTTATTAAATCTTAATTATTTGTGAATAATTGTATTTCATAAATATATAGAGAGATTAATTTTAACAAAACCTTATATAACAGTGAAGATTTGGTATTCTTTTCTTTCAATATTTTAGAATAACATAGTGGGGAAAAAACAGAAAGTAAATAATGAGGAAATAAATAACTAAAAATTTAAGGCTATTTGCATAATCATCAATAGGTGATTAAAGTTTAGAAACTAAAATATTCTGAAAAATATGTATTTCACAATACCAATGTAAATAGAGAAAAACATTTTTTATGAATTTTATAATGTGGTAAAAGTGTTTCTTAAGTTAAAGATGCATATAATAACTAAAAGGACAACCAGCCCTCACATTCTATTTTTGAAACTAGAGTAAATGGTTTAAATTATTTCAGGGTCAATATTGAAGTTGCTTTTTTATGGAAAACACTTCCCAATACACCCAAATAGCTTTCTTTTTAGAAAGATAATTTAGAAGATATCTTTTAGAAAGATAATTTAGAAGAATACATTATTAGGCAACAAATGTCAATGGTTAGAAAATAAAGGCATGAGTAATGTCATTCTTCAAGCCTGCCTGTAGGCAGTGAGAAGGCCAGTGATTTTCTTCTTAACAACCTTGAAAACAGATGTGAATAAATAGCATTTCCCCAGAAACCAAATCAATCTCTGAGAACTTCACAGGATACATGTTGCCAGCCAACAGCACTGAAACTACTGCTGAACGAGCTGTAGGTCATCCTGATAATGCTGCCCCCATGAAGAACAAGTTGGCACTTAGCTATAGATTTCCCTGCCAGGACTTATTCCTGTTTGACACCTTCATTTGACCCAGGATGGGTTCTTCTCTCCAAGGTTTAAAGCTGGAAGCAAATACATTTCTCTAACAATGTCACATTCCAAAGAGTGACTCAAATAAGGGAACTATGGAAGGACTTAGTTGTTCACACAAGTACTATCATGCAGAAAGATAATGAGTGATATAGATAAAAGGTGTTCCCAACAGGGCACCTTAGATTAATTCAGACAAATGTCACAGAATTCCATAGGAAGTATGAAATGGATACTTGCTAATAAATAGTTAAGGTGAGAATATTTGTAAATTACAAATGGAGTCACAGATAACCCCTTCACACAAAGTATACTGTCAAACAATCAAACATTAAATTTTAAGTCTTCATATATGTTGGTAAATCAATTATTTTTTTTTTTTTGTATTTTTCAAAAAGGTTTCCATGTGATTCAACTTACTGCATTAATTGTTTTTATTGTCTTTCCTCAGGTCCCATCAGTTTAAGTATTTATCATTCCAACAGAAGTTCCATTAATGATGTAACTAATTTCCCATAGCATGACTTCATAAGTTATCAACCTTTTCCAGTTTCCTTGTCTACAGGGACTCCAATATCACACACCATCCCAAGTTGGTCCCAGCTGCTCTTTCACTGCCATTCTCACTGCACTGCAGGTCTCCATTTGAGTGAGGGCTGTGCCATGCCCACCACTACCCTTCACCCAGACCATGAGCTCCTCTGGGCAGCTTATAAACTCTGGCTGTGCAGTTGCCCACCCTCAGCACTGCCATTCCTGTCCAAGTGCTGCTGAGGGCTCACACTGAGGCAATGTCCAGCGCTTCAACTTCTTTCTTCTGAGCAACTAGTCAAGGCTCTGCTGAAGACAGAATGTGCATTACTCGCACCAGAACCACTCCCCTCCACACTGCTTCCAACCCCTTATAGAAGCCAATACACGCTCCACCACTGCACTTGTCTTTCCAAGGTCACTTGACTTGCTCCTCATCGAAGTAGATTCTGGATATTGCACTCTGGTTATATCTCCAGCTGTAGATGCCATGTACAAATTGCCCACCGGGCATGTTGTCTATCACTGTATCCTCACTGCTTACCACAAGGTCTAGAATGTACTAAGCACCCAACAAATATTTGAGGAATTGAACTTAATTTTTCCTGTCCACTGAGACTCATTTTTCTTCTAAAGGTGGTAAATGACTCCCAGCCTTTATTGGATACTCTTTTGTAGAGATACTAGAGAGGAAGTGTTTAGGTTCAAAGAGTTTATTAGGACAGTCCTTTCAATTTACATAGAGTTTTGTTATCACTAGGGTTAGAGCAGATTCAAGTAACAGCCATGCCATTTTACCTAGAGAGACTGACTATAACCTGTGACTCTCACACACTGTTACTAGTTACCTAAGAAACTTTCCCAAAAGTGCACTAAAGCCTTCTCTTACTGATATGTTTTTTTGTTTTCGTGGTTATCTTTTAGATCCTTTTTCCCTGCCTCTGCCAAGCCACATGATTTGACAGACATGTTGTATATATTTGATGTCAGCTATTCATAAATTCATTTTTTACTTGAATATTACAGTATGTATGTATGGGATAAAAGTGAGGTTCTCAATCTATTTTCAAATGGAAAAAACAGCATTCAAAAATATCTTTTTTGTTAACATCCAGTAGTATTAAAAATTCAGCTTCAAAAATGTGGTAAAATCAAATATTTTAAGTAGTATTAATGAATCTCAGAATCTTTTTGGACATTTTACTATGGATTCCTATTGACACAGATAATTCAATTGATTAAAGACAGACATCAGCAGATTTTTTTCTGTTTTTTAAAATTGTCATTAGTTCTGTCTAGTTTCCATAGCAATGATAGAGTAGCAAGATAGAAACACTTCAATTGAAAAGAAAAGCTCAGAGCCACTGTTTGCTCAGAATGTAGTGAACACCTGGTACCCTCAAAATCTATTCTATCACTGGCATTTTTTGAAAAGTAGGGATACAGGAAAAAAATCAGGACATTCCCTTTATTTAAAAATCTTTCAAAAATCTGTTGCGTGCAGATGTTCCAAAGGCTATGGTAAAATGTCCAACTCAAGAGTTATTTCATATAATTCAAAGCTGCTCTTTTCAAATCAGAAATCCATGTCACAATCGCACATCCTCTTCTTCAGTGGACTCAAGCAATGTGGCCTTGCTCCGGGAGTGCCACCTCCTCTCTTCTTCAGTATGCAAATACGCAAATATTCTCTAATATCGCCTGCCCTAAAAGGGATAAAACAACAAAACAAACTCTTTTGACTCCACATTCATCTGTGTTTAGTACATAAGGGAATGCGTTAATCTTTTCCATTTCTCTCCTATACTTCACAGAGACATTTGTTAAGACAGTGATTGTAATATCCTACAGCACCTCCAAGTCTCCTCTTCCCTCCCCAGTCCATTCCCACAGGGCTTCCCTCCTCATCACTCCACTAACGCTGACCTTACAATACCTCCCGTGACCTGCCTGTGGCCTAGTCCAGCCTTTTAAAATTTCTAATCATAAAGAACTTGAACTCTCAATAGCATTGGGCAGAATTTATATCTTCTTGTTCTAATATACTTTTCTTTTGGGTTCTGTGACACTGTTTACCTTTGGTCCTCCTGCTCCTCTTCCTCCTCCCCCTCTCCCTTCTCCACTTCCTCCTTTTTCCTTGTTTTTTTGTTGTTTTTTTTTTGCCTACCTCATCAGCCATCGCCCAAGTTTGGGTTCTGAAATGCCATGTACCTACAGTCTTTTGATCTTTCTTCTCCCACATCAGTCAATAGTGAGGCTCCTTTGTAGACCCTGATTCCCCTGCTTTATTTCCGTGGGGATGCCTCAAGACTAAGCAGTGAACTTTCTTCTCCTCCCTGTTTTATAATCTCTCCTTAGGTAACCTCATTCAATATCATGATTTAAATATTGCATTTCTATAGATGACTTCCAAATTTATGCCCTCAGTTTTGACCACTCCCCTGAGCTCTAAGAGTATATTAGGACATCTAACAGGCCTATCAGATATTCCTGACCAAAAAAATCTTGCTTTCCATTCCCAGCAAAACACATGTCCCTCCCTCAGTCTTTTGCATGTTTTCAAACAGCATCATTCTCCTGGTTCTTCAGTGTTACAAACTTCCTGTTAAGGATGGGGAGCTACTATTGTATCTTGCATGCATGTGTAACATTCAGAATGACACTCTCAGTCATATATTGAGCATTCTAATGAGAGCTTCATATCTAGAAGACATATTGACTCAATTCTTATCTTAGAAAAAGCACTCAAGTTTCAAAGAGTTTAGCAAAGCATACATGTCATTAGGATGCCACACAGGACATGCAGCCATTCCTAAATAAAAGTCTAGTGTTTGGAGCCAGAGTTTTCATTTAAGTGTTTTAAGAACAAACTATTAAATTTGCATATATTGTCTTTTGTAAGATATCTGTGGATCAATAAGCAATGTGTAGCTTGCCCCCAATCATAAAGTATATCATTAGTCAACACATTTTTATTGAGTGCTCCCACTGTAGTAGACTTGTGCTACCTGCTAATTTTGCCTTAATGACTTAAAAAGGCATCACTTCAGCCCCCAAGTGGGTGGAGGAGAGAGATGAGAAGCAAGCAATAAAGCAGTTATCAATATTTAAATTAAGAAAGAGTGACAGCTTTAAAAGGAGGGGAAGTCAATATTTAAAAATCAAAGGAAAGCTCTTCAAAGTTTTGTTTGCTTATTTGTCTTAATAATGAAATAAAAGGATATTTTAACTGAGTTCAACAAATTCTTAGAAACTACTGTTGAGAGATACTGTGCAAGTTAATGAAAATATAATGTTGTAAAATGTATCTTACCTGACACCAAAAAGATTATTGTCTAGTATCCATAATTACTAAAATGATTGATGCTATTTTATTTTCCTAAATAAATGTTCAGTTCATTTACTTGGTCTGAAATTTAATTTTGAATATGATAACAATTTAATTTTTATTCTTAACATAATTTACCTGGACCAATGGCTTCAAATGTTTCAAGTATCATACCTATATTCAGAATTAATATATATCAAGAGTTTTCAGATGATGTCTTTGTTATTTTCTGTAATGTATGTGAGAAAAAAGTCCATAATCACAATGAACTTAATAATCCTTTAAATTAGGGTTGTTACTCAGAAGAGAATTTCTACACATTTAATTATAATTCAAAATGTATTTGTAAAATACATTATTTATTTAGTCTATAAAAATTCATACATTTGGGGAATGGATTCATTATATTTTAATTTTCTTTTGCCTCCTACCTGGCCATGAGGTCAAAATCAATGCCATAATTTGTATAGTGCTTAAAAATCTACAGGGAAGAAGGAATAAACAGATGGAGCATGGGGGATTTCTTGAGAATGAAGTAGATCTATATGATGCTGTAATAGTGGATACATGTTGTCATGCACTTGTCAAAACCCATAAGATGTACAATGCCTCAAGTGAACCCTAATGTAAGCTGCGGACTTGAGGTGATAATGATGGGTCAATGTAGATTGGATTGTAACAAATGTTCCACTGGGATGCGGGATGTTGATATTGAGGAAGGCTGTGTATGCATGAGGTCAGGTATGCGTGATGGATGAAAATTCCCTGCACTTTTGACTCAGTTTTGCTAAGAACTTAAAACTGCCCTAACAAAGTTCATGAAAAATATTATAAATGAGTATATAGGGGGAAAATATATAAATGTGTACATATATAGATATGTATGTATGCATGCATAAACACAAAGATATACATACATATATAGATTAAATAGTGTGTTAAATGGGACTATATACCTAGATATGGAATAAATATATACAAATATATAAACAACTGTGTATACACATACACATACACAAAACTATTTATGACATTGTATGTTTATATATTATTAAACCTCATGGTAGCTTTTTGAGATAGTTAAATAACTTTGTCACTTTAGTGTCATGCAATCCATGACTTAGGATGTGTAAGACTTGATCAAGGTCTTCTGTCAACAATTATTTTCAATCATATTATTACTTCCTCCGCTGAATTTATATCATTATAGCTGGAAACTTTTAAAAATATGTATCAAAATTTACAAATTATATTTCAGTATTTGTGTTGACAACTTTGGCAAACCTAAATTTATTGGTTTTGTTTATTTTAAAGTTGAGGTAAGAGGACAGCAGCTTTTCTGTAGTTAATTAAGCAGTGATGGCAGTAAGAGAATGAAGTAAATTTATTTTGGGATGTAAATATTTGTCAGTGTGTGATGGCTTAGCAAAAATCTCAGCTGGGCACCACAAAATGTTCATTCAGACTTTCCTCAAGCCACAGGATTCTGTAATGCTGACATGATTTGATTTGGTGAATGGTGCTGACGGTGCATTTGATGATGTTGAAATTGAGCATTTTCTTAACTTTATGACTTAAAGTGCCCTTTGTTTAAAAATTGATATTTTGTCTGAATTATTGAATGGTCACATCTCTTAACAGTGACACTAGTTACTTCCAGGTTGCCTAGAAGGTGCACATATCACTACAGTGGAATTAATTTAACCCTTTTCATTTTTAAATTCAAGTGAATCTTTAACCACATACTGCATTTCACTGTCATTTCCTCAGCTATTTAATTATCTCCTAGAGTGGTCAATTTATACAACAATGTGTTTTTTGGATGTCAAAATTAAAAAAGATGAGCTGACATAATGCTGTAACCCAAAACATAATGTGCCCTGCCAGAAAAGAGAAGGACACAGGTCCTTCTGGGGCAGATTTTGTAATGTTTGACTTAGTCTACATTCATTGGATACTTAAAAATGCCAGAGATGGTGCAGGGCCTAAAAAGAACTTGCTTATAGGGATTTACATGGTAAAATTTAGACAGTTGTATGACTAATCGTAAGAAATTTTCAATTAATGTTTTGGAAGTATATTCTTATTCTTATTCATATGAAGAACATATGACAATGTTTCTTCATAATTAAGGGTAATTGGCAGGTACTACTACGTCCTATTCAGTGTGGGTAGTTTCTCAGAGGATGTAGACTTGATTTGAAGATGACAGTGAAAAAATTCGCCATTTCCACAGACAGTCAGTAGGTGGGAGTGTGAATTCTCTGGTCATATGGTTTGATGTTATTGAGAATCAATTACCTCCATACACTGCCAGCATTGCGTATTCTCTCCAGATTACAAAGGTCTGCTCTCTCAGCGGGAAGCATTCTGTGCCATAGTGCAAGGACCCAATCCCAGCCCCTAAAAATCTACATGTCACACTCCCACAAGAGCTTCCTCTAAGAAACTGTTCCAGTATGACATTTCCCGTGTAAAGTATTGGTAAAAAGTCTCTTGTTACTCTACGTGAATTATTCTCACTTAGTCTAGCTGAGCAAGAACTTAAAACATTACCCTTGTTTTTTTCAAGTTATGATTATCACAATATTTTATGTCTTTAAGCCAGCTTTAAATTATTAACATGGTTAACTCTAATCTTCTTGAATCTACTCCAAGTTAATGCATGGTTCCCCTGCAGATAAACAAATATGACGAAAGGTAAATTAAGAAATATTTTACAAGGTTATTATTTTCTTGCTGCGATGAAATGGAATGTTAAACTGATCAATAGAATAATGAGGCCTAAAACTTATTTGTCCCTCACAAGATATGCAGACTGAGTAACACATTCGTACTATTTAAGAAAAAATATGATATTCTATTAATTAAATGCTAGCAGAATTATTTTCTTAAAAAAGAAAATTATACTTTGAACTCCTCCTAGGGAACCTACACACATTGACTTATTTAAGGAATAAAGTATGACAAATATTGAAGCCAATATATAAAAGCAAAATGTTTAAATTCAAGTATCAGACATATTTCAATAACTTTTGCAGTTTTTGATCAGTTGCTTTAGCTTTCATAGGCTTAACTAATGCCTGCTTTAATAATACCCTGAATCATAGAAATTTATGTTTCCATGTGGTCTATTTTGACAGAGACAATGTCATAATATTGAGATAGGTTTTTTGAGGATGTAATTTTTTTTAAAAAAAGACACTCAATATATATTAAGCTGAATGTCATTTGTGATATTGCTTTATTTGGCATACATTTACTTTCTAGCAGTATTTGAGTTCTATTATGCATAGTTGAGATGTACCTGACATCCTTCCCCTTTTTTCTTTTCAGTTACCGTACTACCTCTTATGGGCTCATGTTTTACAAGAAAGAGGCTTTGCCTTATCACACAGGTGAAGCATATAACCTAACAAACTCATCAGTTCAGTATCCCCCTATGCCAAATGAGTTCATTAAAGATAATTTCCAATGTACTGGGAATTTCAGAAATCAGGATTTTTCTCTTCCTCTCCACCACACAGTGCTGTGGCAATGAAACCTAGACTAGCTGTGGTCATTTGCCGCCGTGCAGAAAGTCAACCTGAGGAGCTAGAGCCAAGAAAATCCCCCAGGGAAATCAGTCTCGGCCCTAATCATATCCACCACCAAGCCCGATTCAACTCTCGCCATTGTCAGTCATGCAAGACAATAATTTTCCTGAAATCTTTTGCCGGTTTGATTCAGATCTGCACATATTTGAAAATGAAATATATAAATAATATTTGTTACTAGGAGTGGGGTTACAGATAACAGGGTAGAATTCTTTAAAAGTAAGGGAAGTGAGAAACACTCTGTCATTGTAATAAGTTGATTTTTTTTCTTTTTTTACACTGACACAACAGTTGGCTACAATGTGAGTTATTTTATTTTGGACCTCATAACATGTGCTACCCACACTAGAGTATTAGGTAACTGAGGAAAAAAAATAGGTAGGATGACGGATTCCATAGCCAAAGAAGAAGAAACGCTGCTTTGATACTTGCCTCTGAAAGCAGACAGAATAGCAAAGAATGTTTTGCCAAAAGTTGCTCCCCTGCCTGTGGTCTGTGATACAAGTATATTAAATTTAATTTTTCAGAGATCTTCATGGAAAAATTAAATTACTTAAACAAAACTAAAGAGAAGGCTATCAAAAACAGAGAGATGAGAGACATAGTAGGAGAAAATATAGAGCAATAGGAATGTCTTCCCCCAGCATATTTTTAAAGTATGGTCTCCTTGAAAAAAATATAAACACTCACATTACAGAAAGAAATCAAAGTGAGGACAGAGAGGAGATAAATATAGATACACACTACTGCCTATGTCTACTAGCTTCTATAAGATACAAATTATATACATATACATGTATATAAATAATTTCCAAAATATGTTTTATACAGATAAATTTTTCCCAATTAAAGACAGGAGAAAAACAATAATTATAAAATTATTTTTCAAAAGCCTTCATAAGGTTATTTACCTAATTTTCAAATTATTTAATGTTAGTGCTTTAAATATTTTCCAAATGCAATTAGCTAACATTCTTTTTATACATATAAATTAAGCATCATTTTCAAAATGGCTTACAGATTAAACAGTATTTTCTAATATGCTGTGGCTACTGATCTTATAAAGCCTCATTATGAATCACTGTTAATAAACATATAAAAAAGACTAAGTCTGATTTCCTTTTCAAAGTAATATTTAATTTTATGAATTCCCATTTACAAGTGTTTAGAATGGACAGGAATGGTTTTTACCTCTTCAGTAATACTTTTATACAAATTAAAAATATTTTGATTTGACATATATGGCAATACATTTCTATGTTTCCCATTAGTACTATGTTTTTGTAAAACGGGGATGTAGCACTAACAATCAATACATATAAAATAAAGCACATGATTATTTTGTTGGTTTTACAAATCTTTTTCTCAAACATAAACTCTTACAAAAAAAATTATAACAATTAGAGAATACTGATTGGACTTCCACCATTGTAGCGTTTCCATTTTACCCTGAAAGAGAACATTAAAAACATGACCTTGATTGGTGGGAGCAAGAAATTGTATCACTGATAGAGAAAATCTTATAGTTACCTCTGGTAAATCATTAGGAAAATTGATTCAAAGTTTAAAAAATTCAAACAAAATATGGAGGTGATCCCTAAACTACTTCAACACTGCTTAGATGAGTAGCTTAGTCTTAACCAAAATGTTTTTATTTCCCCCTGGTCATAATCATCACCCTCCCCTGAAATGTCTTTTAAAAAATACATTAAACGATACAATAGCAAAACTCAAAAGAGCACAAACGATTTTCAAGAACAGAAAAATCTCTAGTGCAAAACGAAATCTTATGGTGAAGAGCAGATTCCTTTGGAGGCATGACTCAGTGAGCTTATATAATTCATTAGGAGGATTTCTCTTTCCTCTTTGGGGCAGAGTCTACTCTATGCGAAGTTTCCACTCCATTTTCTGTCCCTTTTTTAGAAGCCTTGCCTTTAGTTATGGACCGTTTCTTCTTCATAAATAAGGCCTGAAGATTAGAATCCTCTATCCACCTCTGAAACCAAAGAGTGATTAGGTTCCACGTTATGTATGCCTGGATCGTGCAACTGGAGGACAACACAGCGATTTTAGCTGCCAACACGTTGACGTTTCCAGTCCCGGAATCCGGGTTCCGACTGTGGGATCCAGCCAGGTGAACCCCGACGGTGAGGACCGAGACGATCAGAGTCAGGAGTCTACCCAAGATAAACACCACGGCCCACAGAGAGACCCCCTTCTGGTACTCCTCGTCGCTGAAGTGGAGCAGGCCGCACATGTGGGAAAGCAACTCCACGAAGTAGTGCAGCACCAGCAGCAGGAGCCCCAGGTGGTTCAGGTACAGCAGGTAAGCGGCCGTGATGTGGAACAGGTGGAGGCCGATGTACACGAGCTGCCCGGGGACGTCCTGCTTTTTGGTTTTCTGGAAGTAGAGCTCGGGGAACGCGTGGAACCAGTAGGCCAGCTGCGAGATGTAGAAGAACTTCATGTGGAAGGTCATCACGCCGGGCGGCGGCGCCCTCCACAGGAGCGCGGGCTCCGCCAGGCAGTTCTCGGAGACCAGCACGAGCGCGCCCCACACGCACGACACCAGGTAGAACACGCCGAACTGGCCGGACGCGTTGAACTTGCTCTGCCTCGCCTTGGTGAACTGCATCCTCCGGTTGATCCTGTCCAGCACGTACTCCTGGATGGTGGCGTGCAGGATGATCGCCACCAGCATGTAGAAGAAAATCGTGGCCAGGTCTTTGGCGCCGTAGCGGTACAGGGACCCGGCGGCCGCGGCGTGCTCGCCCGCGGCGGGGACGGCGACGCCGTGCTGCAGCGTGAGGAAGACGATGGACGCCTCCGCCGTGCCCTCGAACATCAGCCCCAGCACGAAGAACATGCCCACGCAGGACACCAGGTCCGCGTGATTCTGCAGGATGAACTCGTGGCTCAGCACCGGGGGGTTCCGGCTGCTTTTCTTGCGGAACCCCATGGCGGCGCTTCCCGACACTCACCGGCGAGCCGCCGCCGCCCCCCGCTGCTCCTCACAGCGCCGCCGCCGCCGCCGCCGCCGCCGCCGCGGGGGCTTCGCTCCCCATCCCGAGCCCGCCGGGTCGCCGCGGCCGCCCGGGAGAGACCCGTCACGGCGCGGGCGGCGCATGCGCACCAGGCGCGGCGAGGCAGGGCGGGGAATCGAGCGCCGCGCGCCTGCCCGCGCCAGGCCGGGGCGCGAGCCTGGAAGCTCCGCGGGGGTCGTCGCCGCGCCGGGTTCGCGGCCGCCGCCGAGACCCTCCTCGTTTCCTCCTCTCACTGACATCTTCGTTAGTCACCACGCTAGAACCGGCAGGGCTCCGGTCGTTCTCCGTCAGCTCTTCAGTCACAACAACAGCAGCGTAACAGTAATACTTAAGAGCAAACGCTGCTGGTGCCGTTTGTCAGGTGCTGTTGTAAGCGCTTCGTTTGTATTTGCGAATTTAACCTTCCTGGAAAACCCGACGAGGTAGATACTGTTATAATCTCCCGTCCCCCGCCCTTGTGTAAGCCAGGAAACTTTAAGGCGCAGGGAGTTGGGGTCACGCCCCGGCCCGCGTCCCCAAAGTGACGCCCAGGACCGACCCGGCTGGCCCGGGCGCTGCCCCTCCGGGTAAGTCCACTGCGGAGAAATGCTCACAGGCCAACAGCAAAGCGTGTTATAAAAGAGTTCCCGATTAGCGGTAGTAACAATAGTACTAGTACTTGTGACAATGATGTTGTCTAGCCAGCATTTTGAAGGACTTGGTGGCAACTGGAAGCAGAGAACTATTTACAAGTCCGTGGAAAGGTCTGTTGGCTAAAAGCCCGAATCTGAATCTCTTCATTCTAGCCCAAATGAGAACATATTTTGTGGGTATGGTCTTTGCATATACAATTTTGCTAAAATGTGTATTTTAAAAACAGTTTCTTTTGTAAGTGCTAATACCTTTCTCGATTCAAATTTCATGTCAGTCTTCAAATTTCTGTTTCAATGCAGAGCAGTTTTCTTGTTTCTTCTGTGTCTCATGAGATCACAGTCATTACTAATAGAGTTAAAGTTTGAAATTTGGAATACGCATTTCTGAAGAAAATGTGCTACCGGATTTTAAGAATAAGGCATAGATTGCATTTAAACTGCCCAACTACTTTTTATCATTGTTTTTCCGCATGCCATGCACTGGCAATAGATGCGATCCAACTTGCATAATTACTTTTACAAAGGAACAAAATATAGAATAAAATACTCTGATCAATGGACAGTGCACCTGCATTTCCTAGAAAAGCCAAACAATTGCATATAGAATCTGTTGTCAAAGTGTTTCCTGAATTAAGGGAAGTACCTGCATTATTTTTCCATAGCAAGAGTTTGCTCTTTCTTGAAAGAAGGATTCCTCATTAAATAGTCCTCTTGTTTTAAGGGTTTGCTACACAGTCTTTGTTTGTTTGTTTGTTTGTTTTCCTAGCTGTTACTCAGTTTTTGGCTGTGACAGCTCAACGGTGAGTTCCATATAAAGTTCCATATAAATCATTGAGGAATTATAAATAAAGGTCCAAAAATTAGGGTACACAGAAATGAGAAAAAAATTAAACTTGTTGAAAGCAGTTGTGTGAACCAAAGACAAGAGCAGTGCCTAGTGGGAATTGTCAAGACTTTATTCAGGAAAAGTACATATTTACCTTTATTGAGACTAATTATGATTTTAAATATATAATAGAATTCATCAGTCCTCTTACAGGCATAGACAATATGGCCGATTATTTTGTGGCACAGTAACAAATATAAAAAATACTTGTATAATTCCTTAATATAGACTTCATTTATATTTGGCATTATTTTTGCCAGGTCTTCCAACACTCCTTGGGCAAATATGAAAGAACTTGACCTTAAAAACACATGAAAGTGAACAGCACCATTATTTGTGCATAGATTTGAAATATTATTTTAATACTAAAGAATAACAAAGCCATTATGGGCTAATTTAAAATGATCTCTTGACCTGTATAAAAATAAAACAACTAAACTTTGATGGATTTTTTTCCCTGTCACTCTACTTGCTTTTCAAGCAACTATCTTCAGCATATCATCTCTCCCTTTTTGAGCTTGTAACACCAAACAACACCCTGTATTATAAATTTTTAATTTAAATTTTACCTTAAATGTAGTTTACTTGAATTTTAGATTTAGACTTCACAATATTATCATAAAAATATAAAATATCAAGTATATAAAATGATTAGAATCGGTAAGGGTATTTCAGCAATTTAGAATATGATGATTGATTTCCGTAGCTTTACTGGCACTTTTATTTGACAAAGAATAAACTGTATATAAGAACATGTAACAAATTATGTTACCACTGTGATTATTAAATCATGTAATATATTTGGGGAGTATTTCTCCTTTATGCACAGCCCTATGCCTGTAGCACAGATAATTATTAAAATTCAAAGGGAAATTTCTACTTCCATCCAAAAGGGAGTAACTGTAATTGAACTTTCACTCCTGTTGTAAATAATTTTAAAACTAAACAAAAATATATGAAATAACTTTTTTCAGATACTGCAAGACACACAGCACAGGAGTATGATCCCTGAGAGAAGGGAGACAAGTGAGGTGAGCATCACAATTAATCTGATTTTCTATCTGGAATCATTTTCCAGACCATTCTACAGAAACGGAAAACCCAAAGAAGAGCCCAGAAATCTTCTTGAATTGAGGAGGGAGAGACAGGAATTAGGAGAAGCTAAGGCCATGAAATTTGCTGGACAGATTACTTATGTAGAGGAAGTTGGGTGGTAAAAGAGCTTCTGAAATTTGCATAAATGTTGCTTTGAGTTTGCTACTAAGTCCTGCATGCTCAGGGTGAAAATACATGAGGCCAAATGAAGAATAATAGGAGAATTGGAAATTAATATTTTCTAAGATTTACACAGGACTAGGAGACTTTCAAGATTGGAATAACCAGGAAGTAGCATCCTCATTGAACATGTAGGGATCCAAACAGAGCTGCAATCTTAGTAAGGCTAAACTTGCCCTAAGGAAATAGCTGATTCATGCCTGTCCACACAAAGTTTGCAAGAAGCCTTGAAAGAATTAAGGTACTCCACAAGGAACTTAACTGCATCCCAGAACAATCTAGCTCTCAACAATGTGAAATTCATATCGTCTAGCATCCAGTAAAAAATTATGAAACAAAGGGTAGATTTGGCTGGGATTGTCTGCCAGAATGCCTACTTGTGGCTTCTTCACGTGCTCTTGGCATCTTCATGTAGGTGACTCAAGGCTCCAAGAATGAGCTTTCTAGCAAAAAAGGACAGAAACTTAGTGGCCTTTTATGAGCTAGCATTGGAAGTGATATCATATAATTTTCATTGTCAAAGGCACAAGCCTACTATCCACCTTCAAGGTGGGGTGAGGATTGAAGGGAGGGTAGGGATTTTCACCTCTTAATGAGAAATGTACCTAGTACTTGCTAAATTTTTAAGTAGCCACATCCTTTCCATGGACAGCAAATTTTGTTTCTGGCTCCCACACACCCAAAGCATAAGAAAAATGCAATCGACACTTCCATTTAGGAGTGGGAAAACATGATGCACACAGCAGTCAATAGCCAATAATAAGTATGAGATCTACCCAAGTAAAGCTCATAGATATTTCATTTAAACCTTGTTGTCCTCTCTAGGAAATGGTGGAAGAGTTTTTTCAAAAATATGGATCATATCATAAGTTGATTTGTTTGCATTTGTTGATTCATATATTTTAAAAGATAATAGACACTAGAAACCAAATAATGTTTATATGAAAATGTTAATCTTTGTCTTTATGATATAATGGTCATTGATTATAGTATTAATTATGGAGTATAATTACACAATGGTACTTCAGGGAATTAATTCAATGAAAATTTTACAGAAGAAACAGAAGAATGGATGAATCCGTTTCTGACTATCTTCATGCATTCATTGCTTGGCCTCATGTATACAGAGGATTGCCAGATATAGGTCAAACTATATTTTAAAATTCTATGTTGATTTCATTATTAAAAATATTTGGTTTAAAATTCAATAGAAAGCCTCACTATAATTTAGGTACTATATTTCAAATTGTTACTAATAATTAGTTCTTTCCATTAGCTAGACAATGTAACCTTTTGATGTCTGTATTTTGTTAACATTATTATTTATGTGAATAGCTTAGCCTAAAAAATTATTCTTAATGAGTTATGTGCCTTTTTAAAACATAATTACCTTAAAGAGATAAACTGACATTGATTCTGATTTTGTTAAAATAGTGCAGTACACTTTATAATATAGATATTACTTCATATTTAAATATTTTTATATCTCAGAATAAATATACATGTATAATTCTAGAATACTAACCTTTTAATAATTTAAATTTGTATTATTCAAGTAATAGAATAGAAAATTCAAATTCAAGAATTCAATAGCATTTGAAGAAGCAAGAAATGTTGGAAAAGAATTACTCCAAAATATCAGACCCTAGTCACTTTTAATCAATGTTTATAATTAGCAGTCATAATTGACTGAGATCACCAAATACTCAGCTCCATTAAACAAAACATAATGTAATTTAGCTTAGCTTATGTATGAAATTACAGTCTCTAGGGATTTGACTGATTTAAACAGTCTTGAATAATTCAGTTAATGAGATTATTATATTTTCAGTCATTTTTACAATTGATAAGACATGTTAGAACATACGCTTTTAGAAAAACACACTATAAAATATAGCTGAATAGTTAAAGACATAAGGAAAACTTAACATAGTATTATATTTACAAATTCTAGAATGTTATTTGCCAATGTATTTATTACTCAAGTAACCTAGCAAATAAAAATAATGTGAAGAATTGTCTAAAGATAAACTCCTGGAATAGATTAATAGTGTCAGTCTACCACTAAAATATAAAAATTGATAAAAATTAAAAATAATATTAAGTAATTTATTTTTTAACTGCCTACTTTATTGACCAAACAAATCGTATAATCACCCTCAT